TTTTTTGTGTTCCGCAGCGGGGTAAAAAAAATGACAGCTTGTCAGCTGAGGAGTAAATCCAACAGCAGAATCCCTTAGCTTGCACCTTCAAGGGTGTCAGTCAGGCCTTTCACCTCGCTGACGGATGCAGTGACACACAATGAAACTCTGACTCGCTTTTTTGGCATAACGTCACATTTCAACGTCGTGACTCATCCAAGKGTACGTTAAGAGTTTCCAGTGTTCGGATGAGCCCTGTGCTGCGCAGAAACTCATAAACATAATATGTTTTTAGRTCAGTTCATTGCTCATGAAAAAGGGAAAGCAAGCAGAAATATTTTTAAAGAACTGGTTTGTGCTTCGACACTGTTAGACTGATCTGGGACATCATTACAAAGCTGATTATAAACAAGTAAAACAAGCCCTGAAACAACGAATATTTTACGAGTTGAGGTAAGTTTAACGCCAAGATGTTGTGGTGAAAATGATCTAAAGATGAGCTGGAGGAAAGTACAGTTCAGCTCCCAGTGTTGTATAATAATATCCCTCTTTTCTCTGCAGTGACTTTGGCACAGCTGTTTTCTAAAGCCAGACATGTATCTCAGCTGAAGTYAGGCCTTTCTTGGCAGACATATAATAATTTCAATTTCACACACATTTTATCCTCCTATAGCTAACAACAACTTGGGATTTTCTGGGGAATACCGGAAGAAAAGTTAAGCCTGTTCCAGTTCCTCAAAGGATAATTCAGGTTTGGAGTCACTGAAGAACTTCAGAGAGAAGAAGAGAGGTCATAACCACCTGACAGCAAGGACAAAAGGATGATTACATTTTTACCTCAGTCTGTATGTGTGTGTGTAATGTTGGATATTTTGTGACTGATTACTGAATTTCAGATGCATGCTTATTTTTGTAGATTGTAATAAATCACTTTAAACAGCAAGTAAATCTACAGGTCTCGAATTTAACATGTGCCTCGCTCCTGCAGTGTAAACACGTTTCACATTTTAGAAATGTTACATAGAGCTGTCTTAACAGCAGGGGTCTATAAACAATGCTAAAAATGTATATTTTTAAATATATAAAAATGACTGGTAAAAATAAGAGTCACGGATTAGAATAGTTATTAAGTGATAGTCAWAAAACTGTTCACAAAAATTGGGAAAGTAAAAGTAAAAGCAGATGTACTAACATACAAACTGCTGAATTTATTGAACCAAACTAGCTTCTCTAAAACAAATAAACATGTTTTCTTTAAATTAAAATATGCATTTTGATTCATATTTACT